TATGTTTTTTACTCAAGACCTAGGAAATGCAATTCAAAGAATTAAACGAGAAAAAGAATTGAATTTAGGAGAAACAGCATCTCTATTAATAAAACTTTTTGAATTACAAGGTAATGATCCTGCATGGTTTGTAAAGCCATTAATAGATAATATAAGTAACCAGTTAGTTAGTATTTTCTGGATGTCACTAGAATAGCATGAAAGGTAAACAAAATTTTATGATATCATTATTCACAACAATATTGCAAAAACAAATAAATATAACTATTTGCTAAGTCTCTTCATATTAATCGATAACTATAATAAAAGTAGGTTAGCAGTTCAAGCATTCATGCAGGATGAAAGACAATAATCATACGAATAGTTGCTTTGATGTTATCTTGAAGCATGTGAAATTCCTTCATTAACATTTGTTACTGATGCTGACTCTGTAATGATTGCATCTATTTCTATAGTATTTCTAGAGACTCATAATATGCAATGTTTATACCATCTCTATCAAAATCTTCCAAAAAACCTTCGTTCATATTTAGGATCATCACTTTATCAGGAATTCTTTAAAGATTTTAAAGTAATTCAACATTCTTATTGCGAAAATATATTTGAAAAATGAACTAAAGGGATAGTTAAAAAATATGAGGCGGGAAGCAAATATATAACCATAATGCTATTGAATCAAAAGTATACTTAGGTAAAATGCTTTATATCACGACGTTTTACAGTGAGAATGCAATCTACACAGTATGTAAAATCAGAAAATGTATTAATAAAAAAGGCTATGCAGTCAAATTTCTCTCTCTTATAAGTTTAAGAATCTCTTAAAAATTGGTTAGAATTTGAATTAATTAACAATCGTTATTCAATTTAAAAAGCTTCAACATTACAATACACACAACCTTTCGTCATATAAACATTCTTTAGTAGCATTGATAGTATCATAAATAAATATCTTATACAGCTGATTCACGATGCATATTATAAATAAATGTATCAATCTGTATGCTATCGTATACATCAAGTATAATTTTCTGAAATTCCAATATCAGATGAAGATTTATTTGAACCTTTTTTTGATAAAGTAGAAGATTTTGCTAAATCTCTTATTGAAGTTGATGAGGATCGGAAGCTTAACTTGAAGTCTTTGATTTCGATAGTTAGTATTAACGATATTTTAGAAGTTTAGAAGATTTTTTAATATAATTACCTGAAATACTATCAACATGTAATTCTACTTAATACCAGAGAATACTTATGCACTTGTTTTATGCTTATCACTCATGGTATTATATGCAGACATTTTTTTAAAGTGTTTGTTGAATCTTCTAATACATGTTTTCATTTGACATTGATTCTTAAGCGTTAGTATAAAGATGAATATATCAATTTAAACGATACCTATTCTAGTGAGACAATTATAAGTAATGGTCAAAATGATCAAAATGGTACGCAAATCACTTTAGAATTTACCTAAAAATACACCATAAATGATCTTTCAGAAAGGTATTTCAAGCAAATATCATGAAATCAATTAAAATTTGATACTCTAATAGGTGAAGTCAAAAAGGCAATTCAATTTGTAATTCAAGATGATGATGAAGAACTGATTCAGTTTATCAAGGATTTTAATAAAGAAAAGAAGCTCAACTAATTCAAGCAGAATTGATTAGGCAACAAAAAGCTTTAGCAGATAGAAAAATGAATGACAATTAGATCCTTTGTAATACAAAAGAAGTATTGATCAATTTTAATCAGATCTTGGATCCATTAAAGCGTCAGCATAAAGGAAGACTACTAACAAAATAATTGAAGCCATCTGTTAAAAAATCAGATTCAAAAGGCAAAGATGAAGGTGAATAAGCAATATCTGATATATGTCGTAAGTGTAGCTTATGTAAGGAATATGGTCATTATTGTAGCACTTGTTCTAAGGGTTAAGTTATGATACTTAATTACGTATTTATAGTGCGAAATCAAAGTGTTGTTTTATTAGTTTCATTTAGTAATAGCATGAGATCGTGTTAATCTTATAGTAATAGCATGTTTGCAATATTTTGGCTTTAATTGTTACATTTATTTAGTGTAGAATTTAAACAATAAATATTGATAAATGCTATTTTTTTTATAATAATTGTTGTTAATAAAAAATGCATACAAAAAAAATTATAAGGGATGAAAAATAATTTATCTCACCTGAAGTAAGGAATAAATTTACTTATAAAATTATTTTTAATTATAATATTTATATAATATAATAAAAAAAATAAATAAAAATATATTATTACATTAATTTTATTTTTATGATTCAATTTTAATAGAAAAAGAAAAAATTTCAAAAAATTTTTTTAAATTAATATTAAATCTGAATTTATTTTACTAAAAATTATTATAATTTATGAAATAAAAAAATTTTTTTTAGTAATTTTCTTTCTTTATACTACATAATGCTCATATCATCAATAAATTATATTTTAATAATATAATAATTTATCTAATATTATTAAAAATTATTTTATTTTATTATTATTAAAATTTAATGATCATTAAATGATTAGTTAAATAATAATATAATTTTTTAAAATATTTTATTAATATTAATATTATTAATAGTAATATAGTTTTTAAACATTTAATTCTGTTAATAATAATTTTTTTTAATATTTATATTATTATTATTTTTGAATATTCATTTTTATAATAATAAAATTTAATATTATATATAGTATATACATAAAAAAATTACATAATTTTTGGTATATTAATTCATTTATTATTTTACTTATAAAATTTAATATATAAAGAAAATTTTATATCCTTTATATATAAAACTTCTGCTTTGAATTACAAGTTCAGTAAATTGTAATCTTTATTATTTAAAATATAATATTAGTAATAGTAAAAATTATATTAAAATTTTTTTAATATTAAAAATTGTTATTTTTTGCATTATGTATAATAAACTATCTCTAAAGATTATAAAATATTTTTTATAAAGTTTATAAACTATTTACTTAATTATTGATAAGGCTTTAGAAATTTTCAAGCATTTTTTTCTAATTTATCTTATTTAAATTTTTGAAAATAACTTATTCAAGATTTTTAAAATTTATCTTATTTGTATTATATTAAATTCAAAAGCTAATAATATATTAAAAATAAATATATTACAAATATATATCTTATTACAGATTCTTATGTATCGTAAAATTCATATAATCTGTAATGTACTATAGCTTGTATATATTTACTATGTATTATTAAGAAATAAATGATCAATTAAAAATAATCGAACAAAATATTATGTCTTTGATTCATTATTCAGAGATGCGTTGTCAAAAAAAAAATCAGGCGAATAAAATCCAAAGAAGTCCACATGTGACAAGAAAAAAAGATGACATATCTTGAATCTACTCCATATAAAATACCCGAATATAATATTCTCTGTCCTATATTTATGTTCAAAGCTTATATTCGTATCTTTTCATCGTTGCCTTGAAATAAGATAATGAGGATAGCCAGCCAAGCAAAAAAGTGTGCTTTTAAAGATTATTGTAAAAAAAAAAAAATTTATTATACAATAATAAACGATTAATAAGTCCAAATCCAAAAAATTTTTGATGCGCATTCAACAACACCGGAATAACAAGAAACAATCACGAGTACTCAGAAAGGCAAAGAAAATGGTAAAGAAATTGTGATAACGAAATAATTTACATCCAAGTTAAATAGTAATAACGCCTCAATGACGAAATAACATTATTATATGGTTTTAATGTATGTAGTGCATTTTTGCAAAAAAATGCGGTTAAGTCAAATTTACAACTAAAACCTCATTTGGTATATAATTTTAAAAGTTCAAGTTTTATATATCCTGTAACGTTTTACTTTTAAAGTTTATGTTCAATTCAAACGTTACATAAAAGGTTGCCGACAAAATGAAATTTATATAAATGTTATCCTGAAGAATATCTTTAATATCTTAATAAGTCTCTTCCTCGAAGGGATATTGCACATTCTTTAAACTTTTATTTTATTATCCAACATAATTCTCGTAATTTCCGGAGTATTACTGCGGCAAAATTCCGTAATAATTTTTTTTTATTTAATTTACCTAAAGAATGAATTGAATATTATAGAGATGTTTCGGGTTTCTAAATGAAGAGGTACATGTATGAGTTATACATTTTTTAATTTAAAAAATGTAAATTATTTCATTTGTTTAACATTTAATAATTGTATGTTATTGAACGGGGCGTTAAAATATCGGTCGAGCCCCGTTCAATTATACTGTCTATTAGGATTAGTGCGTGTACCAATATTAATATAATGTCGATCAGCAAAAAAAAATATCAGGTATGATTAAAAAAATATCAGTACATTAAATTCCGCACAATCCTAATGGACTAGCATGTAATATCTTTTCACTTTACTGGGGACTGTTTTCAGAAATGAAAATTACAACGAAAATATTTAAAAAATCATCCTGATAATTATTTTAAAGATTTCAAAAAAATTTACAAAAGAATTTTTACACGATTTTGACAAATATTCAGAAAGTGTGTATCATAAATTATTTTTCTTTCGCAATTTACCTTTGCAAATGGATTTCAAATACCGAAAGATAATTTTAATATAAAATAATTTACCACAATTTATAATAATATCATTCTATAGATCACGCTGTTCAATAAATGATCAAAAAACTATTGGTCCCGGCCCTAAGCGTAATTTTATTGTATTTGGAACAGGTAAATTATTATGTCCAGACGTTTTTTAGCAATTTATGAAATCAAAGTTGCGATGTATAATGCTTATGTTTTTTCTAGCGATGAAGGATTGATTTTTGATACAAAAAAAAATAAGAATTATAAATTATTTCGAACAAAGTGTTATAATTTTATTTATTTTTTATTAATTCTCGTTTGCAAATAAAATATAGACTTGATGTTTGTTGTATGACATGACCAATTACTAGGAAAGATTGTTGCTGTTGTTAATTATTATTATTTTCTTTGATTCTCTCTTATTAAACGATTTTTCAGTAAGGATGTTCCGGAACCAGATGAGTCTTGAGAATAAATTGAAGGATCTGACTCGTTGGAAATTACCATTGTTTCATTTTCTGAAATATTGGGATCTCTCAAAGGATCATTATCACCATAATTTCCTCTTATAGATCGGATAGGAAACAATCCACCTTGGTTCATCGGTAAAAATTGTCTTGCCGGTGCTAAACCTCCGTGATTTCGATTATAATTTTGTAATGTTGATGGTGGTTGTCTTATATTTTCTCCTTCATTATAATAATTATAAAATCCTGGTCGAGGTCCTTCGAAACCCCTATTTCCAATAGGAGGTAAGTTATCATAATGATTTGTAATAGGAATACCACGAGGTGTCATCGAGTTATTTGAAAATGAATTTGTATTTGTCATTTCATCTGTCGAATACCTAGAATCCCTAGAATACATACTAGGTGTATAATCTTGTTTATGACCTTTTCTTAATTGTGAACCTTTCATGTACATAAAAAAGATGAAACCAAGACCACCGGAAGCACCAATAATAATTACACCTGCTATGGCAGCTTTCTTAATGCTAGAATTTTTGTTCTTTTTGTTACAACTATTTTCATGACAAATAAATCCATCTAGACATTCATCATTATTATTACATCGATCACCTAAATTTCCTTTATGTTGAGATATTGGAGCCTTAGTTACAATCGGTTCCGTTGATTGTGTTGTTGGGGGAGGGGAAGTAGGTTGTAGTACAGGTGGTACATTCGTTGGTGGTTGTACAGGTGGTACATACGTTGGTTGTGGTACAGGTGGTACATACGTTGGTTGTGGTACAGGTGGTTCAGACGTTGGTTGTACAGGAGGTTCAGACGATGACGTTGGTTGTGGTCCAATAGTTGGTTGTTTACTAGTTGTAGTTGTAGTTGTAGTTGAAGGTGGAGGTGGGGGTTTGGTTGGTTGTTTAGTTGGAGGTGGAGGTGGCGGTGGAGGGGGAGGGGGAGGGGGTGGGGGGGGTGGG